GGGGGGGGGGGGGGGGGGGGGGGGGGGGGGCGATCTGACGGCGCCAGACCGCTCTGGCAGTCTTGTGCGGCCACGGGGCACCTCTGACCACCCTCCCCCTGCAATACCCGGCGACAGTGGCTTGATCGGGCGCCGGTGGTCCACGGCCCTGGGTGGGTATGGGCACATGGTCTGCTCTCTATCCCCGCCTCCTTCCGCTCCCAATTCCCATTTCTGTTGTTCCTCTCTCCTCCTCCCCAGTCACTCCTCCCCACCCACACAGCGCACACACACACACACACACGCACGCATCATGTCCACCGCTGAGCTGAGCGCCCCCCCGCCGCAGGACTGCCCCGGCACCTCGTCCGAGGCCGCCGGCAAGATGGACGCCTGCGCTGGGTGTCCCAACCAGCGCATCTGCGCAAGCTCGCCGCCTCAGCCGGCCGTCGATCCGGATGCCGCAGCCATCGCCGAGCGCATGCTCCCGGTCCGTCATCGGGTGCTCGTGCTCAGTGGCAAGGGCGGTGTCGGGAAGAGTACCGTCTCTTCGCAGCTGGCTTGGATGCTATCGCGAGGCGGCTTCGATGCCGATCCCAATGCCGGTGACGACGCAGCTGGCGGTGATGATGACATGGACCTCGATCCAGATCCCGAGGCTGACGCCTGGGATGTTGGCCTGGTGGATATTGACATTACCGGGCCGTCTGCTCCCCGGCTGCTGGGCGCCGGGGCTGAGCGCCTGCAGCGCACTGCCTCTGGCCTTTCGCCGGTCTTCGTCTCAGATACCCTCTTTGCCGTGTCGGTGGGCTTCATGCTGGAGCGCAGCGATGATGCGGTTATCTGGCGCGGCCCCAAGAAGAACGGTACGCCCATGGCCACGCCCGGCTCGGGCCGTCTGCTCCCCAGTGGTGGAGGCTTTTTTTCTCTTTCCCTGGTCCCTCCCCCCCTCCCCCCCCCCCTTTGTGGTCCATCCCTGTTTCAGCCTCTCCCTTTGCCCTCCCATCGTTTGTCTCCCGCTTTTGCCCTTCCCTGACACCTGCCAGCACATATCACACACAGGGCTGATCAAGCAGTTCCTCCGCGATGTGGACTACCAGCCAACGGATGTTCTCTTGGTGGACACCCCGCCTGGCACCTCGGACGAGCACATTTCCATTGTCCAGCTTTTGAAGCAGGCCAACGAGATCACGGCCCAGCATCCCGAGGCCGCGGCCACGCATGCTGGCTCCAAATTCGGCGCTGTCATTGTCACTACCCCGCAGGAGGTGGCCTTGGCCGATGTCCGCCGTGAGCTGAACTTCTGCCGGCGAGTTGGCCTACCGGTCCTCGGCATCATCGAGAACATGGCTGGCTTCGTGTGCCCCGGCTGTAGCGTATGTTGCCCAGCGCTTTTGCTCTCTCCTTTTCCTCTTCCCAGTCTCTTCATCCCCCCTCCCCCGGACTTTCTTCCATCCACACCTACCCTCCTCATGCGGTTTCCCCTCTTAACACCAGCCCGCCCGTGCACAGATCAACACCGACATCTTCCCAGCCACCACCGGTGGCGCGCGTAGCCTCGCCCAGGACTTTGACGTCCCCTTCCTTGGGTCCATTCCGATTGATCCGCGTGTCGGTGCGTTCATGGCATTTCGTGCCCCCCCCCCCCCTCTGCCTGGCTAGATAGACTCCTGACCCTCTCCTCCTCCCTCCCATTCTCATGCCCCAACTATAGCCAAGGCCTGTGATGAGGGACGGCCGATTGCCGACGCGTGCCCCACCTCCCCGGCCACAATTGCCATGCGCAGGATTGCCAACAAGTTGAAGGAGGTCTTGGAGTCTTGATTGAGTTCCACCCTGCCATCGGGTAAACTCCCTTTGTCCTCCTGAAAAATAGATCCAAATATACCAAACACCGCCGCTGGGCAGGGATAAACCGAAGAGATGGGCAACTTTCTTTTTTACTATTTCTACGCCTTTGTCCGGCCCACACACAGCGAATAGGCAGACGAGGCGAGGGACGATGGGAGGTGGGGGGAGGGGGGAGGGAACAAGGTTGACTTGGAGACAAACGAAAGGATACATGGTCCATGTGTGCTTTTGTGTGTGTGGGGGGGGGGGGGGGGGGAGTGTGCGCGCGCGCGCGCGCGCGGAGTCCCATGCTGTCTAGGTCTGCTGCAGCGAACGCAGCCGGGCCTCGAGGTCCGAGTCGCTGACAGCGGTCTCCTCGGACTGCTGCACAGGCAGACCCCCGACCGGCGCGCGGGCCATCTTCCCAGTGACGCCTGCGCAGACAGACAGACAAAAGTAGAGCAGGCGAGAGGGCAGACAATGTCAGGAGCATGTGGGCAAGAGAGGGGCGAAAGGGAAACAGCTGAAAGCACATCCGCATGACAAGGAAGCAAATGCAGAAGCCCACGCTGACACGTACCGAGCGACACCTCGTGGAGGATCTTCTCCACCTCGGTGCTGACCTCCTCGTCGAAGTCCGGGTCGGCATCCAGGGATTCCATGGCATCGTCCATCATCTCCTCGATGATGCCAGCCTTGGCCATCTCCTTGGACATGCTACGCATGGTCATGCTCAGCTCCGGCACACGCATGAGCGAGTTCATGGCCTGCATGATCTCGGCACTTTGGGCCAGCGACCCGCTCACCTTGATGAAGGACAGCTGCTGGGTCAGCTGCATGGACACCGAATTCAAGTGGGCCTTGGACTGGATGATGCGGTTCTTGGCATTCTTCGACATCACCAGCTCCTTGGCCAGGCTCCGGCACGAGTCGATCTGGCCCTTCTTGGAGAACTCCTTCAGCGTCTGCTTGGCCTTGAGCTCCTGGCGCTCGATGTCTTTCATGCCCGTCAGAGCCAGCGGACGAGGGGAGAGAGGAAGGGGGGGGGGGGGGGGGGAAAGGGGGGGGGTGAGTTGACGGACCCCCGAGGAAGCGCGACATCAGCAGGAGAAGAGAGAGAGATAGGGAGAGCAGGAGGGGGGGGGGGGGGGGCGCACCGCGGATCTGGCGGTCGAGCTGACGAGTCTCATTACGGAGCTGGCTGCGCCACTGCTTGACTCGCTCCTCGGGAGTGGGGGCCTTGCCGAATAGTCCACCAAACATGATGGAAGGGGGAAAGAGAGAGAGGTGGGGGGAGGACAGAAGAAATGCGCGGAAACAAAATAACGTCCGAACGCGGGGGAGGGGAATGGGAAATGAAGGGGAGTGGCTGGGCTCGAGGGGACGGGCGAAGATCTGCCGAGGGAAAAATCTGCCCGGCTCCGCAAGGCCAGAGATCTGACCCGCCCCCATGTTTGAGCACACAGCGGGGCCAGGGTGGGCGGCTGTCTGACAAGGAAGATGGCCAAGCACTTTAACCGTGCCTTTCGGCGGGGGGGGATCACCTTTTCATCCAAAGTTCGTCAAGGGCCCATTCACCATCGGAGGGCAGGGGGGGGGGGGGGTGGTCAGGCCGATGCAGGCTGCTTTGGTCCAGCACCGGAAGGCAAACCCGATGGGGCAACGACCGGGGCGAAGGCGCCGGCGCACTGCTCTCTTCCTCTCCCGGGCCCCGTTCCATTCTCCAGGGCTGCGGGCCTCTTCCCTCCCTCAGGAAGCCCGGGGAATGTGCCCTGTTACCGCGGGGTCCATTGGGAACAGGAGTCGGGAAAACAGAGCGATGATCAGGGGATCATGGGATGGGCGTGATGCCCGGGCGTGACATTGCCGCTATACACGAGGAATCCCATTTTCCCTCTGTTTCGAGGAGGGGATGAAGGTGGGTGCGCTGGTGGGCGGAACACCCACGAAGGCCGCGACCACGGACCAGGCCCGGCGCCCGAACCGCACCACGCGCATTCACACCCCGCCGGCCAATGTTGAACGCCGCGAGAATATTGGCGCCATGGGGGGGGGGAGGGGGGGGCCAGGCGCATTCGCTCCCTCTCCCCGCCGACAAGACGCGAGGCCGGACCAATTTCCTAACCACGAATGATGGGAGTTCCCTGGCCCCGGAAGGTGGACAACGTCCCCCCCCCCCCCCCCGTTGGCCGGTCCCTTTTCCCTTCTCCGTTGCGAGCCTGCCCGTTCGGAGCGATGCGCCCTTTTGGGCGGCCCCATTCGACCCCGGACCCGGGCCCATCCCCACCCCGCTGCCTCCTCCCCCTCCCATCTTCTCCCTCGCACCGCCCTCCTTTGTATGTCTTGCCCCTGTTGCTCTTGCCTTCTGCTCCTCCTCCCTCTCCTCCTCCTCCTCCTCCTCCCCCCTCGACATCCACGCATTAGCCTCTTGTGTCCTGGCACCGTTGTCGCGGCCGTCATCTGGGGATCGATGCATCCCCATGATCAGCGCTTCCCAGGCCCCCCATCGCCTCCTCTCTGGCAACCCTCAGCTTTCACACTTCCGCCCTGATTGCTGCTGCCGCCACCGCTCCCATCCCTTGCCCCTCGCCCCCCCCCCCCCCCCCCCCCCCCCCCCCCCCCCCCCCCCCCCCCCCCCCCCCTTCCTCACCACCACGCACACACTCACCCGCGCACGCCCCTCCCTCCTTGTCAGACTGCTGGGCCCGCCCCCTTTTGGATCCAGCGCCCGCTATGTTCGCTTCGGTTCGTCAGATTGCCCGCCCAGCCCTCGGCCTGGCTGCCCTGGCCCGGGCCCCCGCCGCCGCCGCCGTCGTGGCGACCCCCCTGGGCGGTGCCACTGCCACCACCATCGCTCGTGGCATCTCTTTCACTCGCGCCAAGGGTGCGTCCTCCTGCCTCCGCCTTGACTGCTGCTCTTCCTCCTCTCCTCTGGTATTCACACATGCGCCCCCTCCACCCCCCCCCCCCCTCCGACCATATGCCCCTCCCTCCAGCCCGCCGCCAGGACGCCAACCAGTATGCCCGTAGCCGCGGCTTCGATCTCGGCTCCTTCAACATGCTGCAGTTCCTGAACCACGAGCAGATGAACTCCACTCCGGAGATGCGGCGCCGCACCGAGCTCCTGAAGGACTCCAACCCGAAGGGCCTCTCCGCTGGGGCCATCGTCTCGGTGACCTACCGCATCAGCAAGAAGAACGACGACCAGGCCAGCTTCACCACCCTGCTGGGGACGGTGCTGGCCGTGCGCCGCAAGCAGCTTGGCTCGAATATCCTCATGCGCGTGGACATGTCCGACACCTCGGGCAGTGGTGACAGCGAGATCATCGAGGTCACCGTGCCGGTGTTCTCGCCGCTCATCACCAAGCTCGAGGTCATGCGCCCGTACCGGGCCCGCCGGTCCAAGCTGTACTACCTGCGCGACCAGGATGACGAGCGCTTCCCGCTGGATGTGGTGCCGGTTCTGCGCACGTACCAGGAGCGCCAGGCGGCCATCCAGCGCCGTGAGCAGCGTCTGGCCCAGGAGCGCGAGATTGCCCAGGCGGCCGAGCTCAAGCGTGCTGCCGCGCGCCAGAGCCAGGTTACTCGTGTGGAGGAGACGATGTCGGCTGAGGATGCCGTCGCCGCCCCCGAGCAGGAGGATATCACTGACGCCGGCAAGAAGTAAGAAACACTCCCCCCCCCCTCCCCCCCTCCCCCCTACACCCACCACCCTCCTCCGCGCTCGCTTGAGAACCTCGGCGCGCGTCCTGCCTCCCACGAATTCCCCAGCAAAGGGGTGGGCCGTGCCCTGGTCCTGTGGCGGAGCATGTCCTTGATCCCAATTTGCCTCCTTCCTTTTTCCGCTTCACATTGGCCCGCGCGCCTTGTTTTCCCTCCCCTGCTCTGATATAGATAATACAAACCGAACGTCTGTTCCGTATGCTGGCCGTTGCCCCGGCCGGGCGAGGGGGGCGAGGATCGCGAGGAGAGGCGAGAGATCTTTGCCGGCACGAAGAAAAAGGAGACGCCTCGGGGGCAGGGCCTCTGTGTCCCCCGCCCCCCCCCCAAACAGTCGGGCATGCCGGCATCTGCCAGATGCCAACGGAGCTATTTGGAATGCTGTTCTGATCTTGAGTGACTCGAGCAGCACCGCCGGACTGCGGGGTACATCCGCGCGATCGGACTGCCACCGCCGGGGCGTCCCTCTCAGGGGAGCGTGGGTGGGGCGCGGTGGGAGGGGGGGGGGGAGGGGCCGCAAGCTCCCCGTGGGGCGGCCTCGGGAGGCAG